TAAAAAATATATTTATTATTTATTTATTTTATTTTTTAAAAACGTAAATTTTTTATTAAAAAAACTGATCCCTCTTCGTCACATCAATTTCTGACTCCATTAATAGTTGTCATGTCCTGACGTCTAGAGGAGGTTTCAAGGACACATTTCACATAGCGCTTAGCTCGATACTCTCACCACCTAGTCTACAGCGTTGATGCTGGTAAATAATTGCACATTTCCATCCACTCAATAATTGTACATCCATATAACGTCAAACTGACATTTTCTGTTTTCTATGGGCTAATGATTGTTTTTTTTTTTTTTTAACTGAAGTTAAAAGGGCTAATAATTGCTTTTTCTGAATTGTGTTTCCGGCCTTTTCCATAAAGTTGTCCCCTGTTTAGCTTTGCTGGAAGGCAGGCAATTCCACATTTCCACTAACATAACATTTTGAAAACGCAGCAAGGCCATTGGCGAGAGAGAAAGTCCGATAAAATGTTTGAGTTTAATATTATAAACTCACACTCTATGTAATCTGATTGCTTGATTTCAGGCAATTGCACATGAATATTACAAAATAATATTATAAACTCACACTCTATATAAATTTATAGAATTAATTAAAATTTAAGTTTAATGAAACTATCCTCAAAATATAAAATGCTAACATCCGACTTATAAAGCTATATATTTTCTTTGTGGGAAAAAGAATTAAATGAGAGGGAAAGGGCAAAGGGATTTTTTAATTAATTAAATTATAACATTCACAACTAATGTAATTTGATTTATTAAAAAAATTTAATTTCTTCTCTTTAAACTAAACATAACATTAAGATTCACTTACTTTATTTAAAACAAAATTAAAATCAAAATCAAAATTTAAAAATAACAACACTTTAAGTACCTAATATTTTAAGTGAAAATGCCAATAAAATAAATAATTTAGTAATAATTTCACATTTAAATAAAATAAAAAATTATAAATTTGAGTTTTAGACATTTAAGTGTGGTGAGTAGAAATATAAAAAAAATTATATTTTATTATGTAATTTGAAAATTACAAGATATATATATCTTTTGAAAGTAAAATGTTCTTGATTTAGTTGTAACTTTGTAAACATAAGGGTGAGGTAAGAAAGTTGATTCGGAGAGTTTTCCTTTCACTGATTGGGTAACTCAATTTTTTTCCTTTTGAAAAAAATTAAAACAAAAATCTTTTACTTTAAAATTCCTCAAATCAAAACCCTTTTATTTTAAATTTTATTGACCTTACGTATATATGCGAAAAGTTCTCAATTTTTCTTGATAAAAGATTTTACAGGAAAAAAAATGTTGTCAAGTAAAAGATGGTATCGTGGTTTACACAACTGCCGCAGTACGTAGATTGAGAGTTGAGATCGTCAAATAAGGAGGAAGCAAGTTTGTAATTAACCTTCGTGAGTCGTGACTTCAAATTACGAAATGTTAAAAGTGCGTTTAAGTTTTTGGAAGTTGCCAGTATAAGGTTCTGAAACCAGTCATAAAAGTTTTGGGACCTAAAAGCATTTCACGCAATTTAAGCTTGGAAAGTTTCAGAACTATTAACAAATTCTCCAAATATAAAATGCTAACATCTAACTTAAAAAGTTATATATTTGGTTTGAGGAAAATAAATAAAT